CCAGCCCTCCCCATGCCCCTCTCCCCGGGGCCTGGCCGCCCCAGCAGGGGCCCTTGGCACAGCCCCCTCACCCCTCCCTCTGCTGCCACTGTGGTGCTTTAATAAAGATGCTATTATGTTGATGGAAGAGCTTCTCCCACTGATGTAGTTCATCCATCTCCCTGAGCAGTGGGAGATATGTCAACAGGAAAAGCTATCCTGTCAACACATGGGACTAAAATCAGGATGACTTGCTCATGGGATGTGGATTTTTCACATCTCTGAGCAAATGAGTTAAACTGATTTAAGTCTGTTGTGTATATATGGCTCAAGTTAAATGCTCCACCTTCTTCAGGACATCAATAGGTTGCTATATATCTAGTGCAATACAAATGCACTGCATGTCTTAAGAGACCACTGCTACAAGAGCTTCCCCCTTTTTATAATCACAATAAACATTTAGCATAAGAGCTATGACTTGGGGACAAATGGAAGCTCTTCCAAAATACAGCAGGTCTCTGCATTTCTAACTGATCCAAGGCTAAGGAGGAAGGGGAAGGAGGAGGGAGCAGCCTGCGGTAGCAGCTTGGGGGGGGAGGGATATCAGCCCAGAGGCCCAATTGCTCTTGGGGATGGGGAGGCGGCGGGCAGGGCACCAGCCCAGGGCTGGGGGGCGCTCCCCATTGGTAGCATGAGGGGGACATGCTGTCTGAGCACAGCTGCAGGACTCCCTGTGGGCCAGGCCCTCGCATGCAGGGGGGCCCCTACAGCTTGTGCTCCCCAGTTCCGCATGGTACAGCCCCATACCTGACAGCCGGGCTCAGGGCTTCCCGCTGTCGTGCTCGAGGGGGCCCGTCCCCACCCTCCGCTCCAGCCCGGCAGCCCCAGGGGCAGCCCCCCCCAGCCTGCGCTGACCCCGCCTCCCCCTGGCAGGATCATGGGCCTGTACGTGTCCATCGTGCTGGTGATCGGCAAGTTCGTGCGGGGCTTCTTCAGCGAGATCTCGCACTCCATCATGTTCGAGGAGCTGCCGTGCGTGGACCGCATCCTCAAGCTGTGCCAGGACATCTTCCTGGTGCGCGAGACCGGCGAGCTGGAGCTGGAGGAGGAGCTGTACGCCAAGCTCATCTTCCTCTACCGCTCGCCCGAGACCATGATCAAGTGGACGCGGGAGAAGGAATAGCAGGGACACGCCGTGACCTGCAGGCTGGGAGCCCTGGGCCCCCCGGACCCCTGCAGCCTTAACCCAGCCCCGGGGGCTGCAGGCCTGAGCCAGCCCCGTCCCCTGGCCTGCCAGGGACACCAGCCCTGCCTGGGGGGCGGAGCGGTGCCCTGCGCCACCCGCAGGGGAGCCTGGCCTTGTGCTTTTTAAAGGAAGTTTCTTAACTGCTTTATTCCCGGCAGCTGGGGGCAGTGCCCGCTGGGTGGGGGGAGACGCCTACCCGGCCCCACCTCAGTGCCTTGCTCGCAGCCCAGAGCAGGGGGGCTCTGGATCCCATTCAGCAGCTGCTCCTGCCCAGGGAAGATGATGGTCGTGGGCCCCCTGAACTCCCCGCTGCACCTGCCTCTCCACTCCTGCAGCGGCAACTCCCAGCCAGCCGGCCACGGTCAGCTGGCCCAGGTGCTCGGTGCCCTGTGAAGCCGGTTGCGGTCACACTCCGAAGCAATACTCCTCCCCCAGCCGTGTACCGGCCAGCACCCCT